TATATATATACTAGTTTATGGACATATGTGTTGCACGTGTATCTTATGTCAACTATAAAAACTTTTAAGATAATAAAAATATTATTAAAAGATAATTTTAAAAAGAAAAATACAAGCTCAAACTTAATTGTCGAACAAAAATAATTAGCTAAATTTAGTTAGATATAGATACGATCGATGTATACAAACCAACATAAACTTAATTATGTAGCACTTTGACTCTTTGACTCATTCATAAGTATATCACACGTCAAAAATTATTTACAATAAGCGTCGTACGGGAGATACAAATGCAAAGTTTTGAAGATAATTTTGCTTTATATATTTAAGACGTCAATATACAAGACCAAAGGGATGTGGAACACATAATCTAATTTTTAAGTCTAATATGAAAAATAAATTTATTTCTCGTAGAAAAACTGCATCGTAGCAAAAGTTTTGCATAAACAATGATATTCTTTACACTAAAATAAATCAAGAAACATTATAAAAATTATTTAATAAAGGGTAAATTTACTTTTTGATATAAAAATAATATAAAAGTAGCATTCAAGGAAAGGTTACAACGGTCTTTCAATCTTTATAGGACATTTTAGTAATTCATTTTTTATTTTGGGGCTTCACACTTATAATATATANTTTGTATCTCATTAATATTTTTTAACAAATGATATTCGTGATGCATGTAGTTAATATATGAATTCTGTCGCGAGTATAATTAAAAATTTAAGCTTATTGCTTATTACAAGAATGCAATTACGACCTTTTAAATTGTTTGTAAATGTACTAAAAGAGGAAAGATTGAGCAAATTCTTACAGTTTTGCGTTGGATATAATTGTAATTAACCACTACTAATTTTTTAAATTTTATTTTGGGAAAAACCCGAAACTACCGTGTCTTTATTTAAGTTTAGGCTTCTTTACGTTGGACTTCTTTGGTGTATTTTATCCTATTTTTAGTTTCCTTTAAACATTAGTTTAAAGTGCAAAACAAGCTAACTTTCAAGATATATAATGTTCCATGGATATATTATATTATTTTTCTACCTTTTTTCTTATTCATATGTTTATTGTTTTTGTAAAGTTACTAGACTTCTCACCTTTTCCTAACTATATATATTTAATAAATTTATATAAGCCATTAGTGATTGATTATTCAATATTCTTGTACAACTGAAGAAAGATTTATGTGGAGCGCGTGATTGAGACTTTGTGTTGATTACGATCAGATTTTAAAGATAGGTTCCTTTTTCATTCATATTATTTCTATTTATGTTGTTGAGGTTTTTATTACATGTTTGTACATATTATAAGTTCTTTTTTTGTCAAACAATAAAAATTTTATTCAACCAAGTATAATATGTACATCCACTAGTTCTTTTTTGACTCTCTAGAACTAGTTCTGAACTTTGTATCCTACTAACATTTACTCCTCTCCTCTATATATTTATTACAGTATAAATCTATACTAGACTTGGATATGAGTTCAACCTATCAAGTAATCTTTTCCAATTGCTTCTAAACTGGCCTTTCCTGTGTAATTGAATGACAATCTCTCTAAGTCTTGAAATACAATCCTGTTGTTGTTCTTGGAATCGTCGAGCATTGTGCTCACTCCAAACATGATAAATAATGGCAGCTAATAGCCATCGTAGTACCTCTGCATGGGTTTTACCGTTGCATTTCTTGGTCGTTAACCTTTCAATCTCCTCCTCCCAGTTCCCTACTTGACTGCTTTCTCTTGTCCAGCATAAAAATGAACTCCAAATCTGTCTTGAATAATCATAGTCAAAAAACAGATGTGCATGTGTTTCTTCAGCATCAGCTATGCATAATTCACAGTTCCTAGGAACTTGTATTCCCCACTTAGCCATTCTGTCTGTTGTACTGAGTCTCTTTTGAAGTGCAAGCCAAAGTATAAACTGATACTTTGGTACAGAACATTGAACCATGTTGAGATTTTTCCATATAACTCTAGGATATTGAGGGAGTAGGTATTTATATGCCTTCTTGATCGTGAACTTCCAAGCATGAGTTAGTTGTTGTAATTCTGTGCACAAATCATTGCTCTCATACCATTTCCTTGCATTGAAAATTTTTCTAACAAGCCAACATGCTTGTTTAAGTGTATTCATCTCACTGATGCTTCTACTTATAATGTAGAAACTTTGAATCCATTGAACCCACAAGGTATCTTTCTTTGCTGTGATAGCCTAGAGAAATTTTGATATGGCTGCTTTATTCCATGTTTGAAACTCAATTATGTTCAAGCCCCCTGCCGATTTTGGCATACATAATCTCTCCCATGCTATAAGTGCTCTTCTTAACGTTGCACATTGTCCAGTCCACAAGAATGTTCTACGGGCACTTGTCATTAACTGCATCACCTTCTTTGGTATCAGAAAAATCGGTGACCAGTATGTTTGGATCTCAAAAAGGACACTCTTAATTAGCTGCACTCTGCCACTATATGAAAAAAATTTGGTGGTCTAACATCTGATTCTTGCAATCATTCTCTCCACCAATGGAATACATTGTTGAACTATTATTTTTTTATGATAAGGGGACACCAAGGTATTTGAAAGGAATCTCTCCCATTGCAAAGTGCATCTCATAAGCTTTCCTGATATCTACTTTCACTAGACATCTAGGAGACATTCCTTTTCTGTTGTAACCTTTGACTAGTTCATGTGCCACAATCACATTATCTAAGATATTCCTTCCTTCAATAAAAGCTGATTGTACTGGCCCAATAATTTTGTCAACTGCTTGCTTAAGTCAGACAGTGATCACCTTGGCTATCAATTTGTACAGAGTCGTACAACATGCAATAGGCCTGAACTCCTTGACATGAGTAAGATTTGGAACTTTTGGCACCAATGTAATGGTTGTATTGTTTATCTCCTTAAGGATTTTTTTCAGTTTCAGAAAACTAGAGAATAGCTGTTATAACATCATCTCCCACTACATCCCAGTTAGCTTTGAAAAATTCAACGGGAAAACCATCTCTCCCAGGGGCTTTGTCAGCTGGTAGATCATTCAAAGCTTGTATAATTTCTTCCTTAGTCACTGGTTTAATCAACCCCTGTTGCTCCTTCTTATTAAGGCACTACCTATCTTTTGCAATGTTGTTGTTCAAACAAGGTAGTTCTGCAGCCTTAGTGCCCAACAACTCTTGAAAAAAATTAATAACCTCATACTGTATTTGGCCTGGATCAGTCAACATAATTCCCTGGTCATTACAAATTAAAGAGATATGGTTCCTTGCTTGTCTAGTCTTCATTTGGGCATGAAAATATCTTATATTTGAATCCCATTTTGCTAACCATACAACCCTAGACTTCTGCCTCAGAACCTCCTCATGAATGTTAGACCATTTTTCTAATTCAAAAATCAGGTCTCTCTCCTTTTGAATCAGATTAGGATTGTAAAGATCGGAGTTTAGCATTTGTTGAGTGTCCTGCAACTTCCTTCGAATGTCTTCAATCTTCCTTTCCAAACTGGATACCTCTTTCTGGAGGTATCTTGTGTTTAGCTCAATAAGTTTGAGCTTTTTGCATATTTCATACATAGTGTACCCAAGAACTTTATGCTGCCATGTAGTTTTGATCGTTGCCTTAAAATCTTTATTTTGAAGAAGAATATTGAGTAATCTAAATGTCCTAGGAAGGTTTTGTCTGATTCTCCTAGTGTTAACAATAATAGGAGAGTGATCTGAGCACCCTAGGTTAAGGTAGACTGTTTCCAAATGTCCATAGCTGTCGAACCATTTTGCATTCCCAAAAGCCCAATCTATAAAGCTGTGAATTCCAATATGTGCATCTCTCTTATTACTCCAAGAGAATAAACTCCATGTTCCTTTTAGTTGTCCAAGCCCTATGTCTTCAATACACTCCTGGAAATCCTTAATCTTATTTGGGTGTACTGGAATACCATTTTGTCTATCATTCACAAAAAGAACAGGATTGAAATCCCCTAGCGTAATCCATGGATCAGTTATATTGTTGTTCAGAGTTCTTAGCCCTTGCCATAAGGCCTTCCTTTCATTTATGGTATTCAAACCATAAATAAAAGTTATCTGGATAGTAAAATTGGATCCCTTGTCTTTTACTAAGCAATGCATGAATTGAAGCCTAGATGCTACTATTTGTACTTCCACTTGTTGAGGTTTCCAACCAATCCATATTCTACCATTTGGGCTTTGAGTGTAGTCAGTAGCTATTTCCCAATCATTCCCCATTTTCTTCTTAACCTTTTCAGCTTTGTTAGCCTTAACTTTAGTCTCAAGACAGCCTATTAGAACTACCTTATTTGTAAGCAGGAAGGTCCTGAGTTCTTTCTTCTTAAAGGGGATTTGTTAAGTCCCCTTATGTTCCATGAGAAGAATATCATGGAGGTATCTTCCTCGGAGAACTCTGTTCCTTTATCACTTTTGAAGTGACTATCATTGGTTGAATTCTTAGAGCACTAAACTGATTCTGCCTTAACAACCTCTCAATCTTGTCACTATCTTCATAAAGCTGACTTTGTCCCTCCTGTTCTTGAATAGTAGCCAATTTTTTCTTACCCCTATTTTTGGCTGTTGCAACTGGAATTCCATACTCTCATACTGTTCTATTCCATTCTGGTCATCAGTTGGTTCTCCTACTTCTTTTAGTAACTCTGGTTCAACTTGTTGTTCAGCATTTGTGACTGGTTTACTAGGCTCTTGATTCACCTTTACTCTCCTGCCCATCTTCAGCTTCCTTCTATTCATTTGTTGCTTCCCTTTTTCAAATGTGGCCTTCTTACATTCACTATTTTGATGCCCTATGTTCAAGCAGCTTTGACAATATAGGAGTCTCCACTCGTACTCAATGGTCTGCAATTTGTATTTGCCTCCTGGTAGTTCAATTGATATCTCTTCCGGAAGTTCGACTGATACATCCATCTCAATTAGAATACGTGAATAGGACACTCTTTATCCTTTAATTGTAAGCTTATCCGTGCATATTGGCTTCCCCAAATAGCTCGCACGCAATTCTACCCAAACTTCCTGGTGCCCAGTATTCAACAGGCAGATTTGTGGGTGTAACCCACACTGGAATGACCTGAAGAGGTTCCTTGCTCATATGAAATTCTGGTTCCCACTGTTTGAGAACCATAGGTCTATTGTTAAAGGTGCAAGGTCCATTCTGCAGTAAGGTCTCCTTATCATTATCAGACATAAATCAGAATAAAGTACCCGTCATTATGCAGAAATACCTGAGGAGTCATGACAAAATTCCACACCCCATACACATATTTCAGCATTTCCTTAACGGAAGGGTTTCTCCCAATTACATACCCAATTAATGTTGACTTCCATTTCTGACATTCCTCTTCAACTTCTGCTTGGACTAATTTCACTATTTTCATCCCATCTCTCATTATTGGGGGGAAAATAGTCGAGTTTCATCCATAATTGTTGAGATCTGTTACCTTGCACAACTTTAGCCGCCGTATATTTTCCTATTTTCACTGTTTTAGAGAAGGTAAGTTTCCTTGCAGCTGCCGATGATGATGTTCTTTCGTCTTGTTCTACATGAGTATTGATTTCCACCAGTGGTCTTCCTTGAAATATCGTTGGAGCACTTCCCATTCCTGTTAGCTATTGACCAAATTGCCTTGGCCCTAAGTACTGAGGGATTCCATTTTCTGGTGTAATTACTCTAGTACGTTCTTCGTGTTCTGTGGAGGGAGTTGATGTCGCCGGATTTTGCTTATTCCGTCGAGTCATGGTTGAAGGCGCACGTTAACAACTGTTAACTAACATACGCAGCCAGAGCTGATTTCTTATTATAAGTTCGCGTTAATATTTCTTTGCCTTAACCATAAGAAGAAGAAGAAGAAGAAGAAGAAGAAGAAGAAGAAGAAGAAGAAGAAGAAGAAGAAGAAGAAGAAGAAGAAGAAGAAGAAGAAGAAGAAGATTTTGGGATCTAATTGCAAAATTACCTATTGTACGTTTTTAATAACAAGAAATATATGCAACGCAATTATCTCATGGGTAAGTAACGACCTTTGTACCGGTTAATCAAACACTACTCCTTCAATACATTTGTTCAATAAAATAAATACTAGAACAAACTAGAGAAGAACCACTAGAGCTAATCTGAGCCGCTAAATATAATTAGCATTTATTTGGAACTTGCATCTTTTGAATATTATTTATGTTATTTTAAAAAAAAAATTATTCACATTAATATGGGATACACGCACAACGCGCGTACCCTAAAACTAGTATTATTAAAATATGTGAAAAATTACATCAAAATTTCAAAAGAGTAAAATAATCTAAAAATAATAAATAGTTTTAGAGATGTAGTGTTGAACTCAAATTGACTGGATAGCTCTGCGAAGATCAATAATTATATTTAGTTAGACAAGTGTATTTTATAATTACATAAATTTAGTTGTTATGAGTCACAAACATATAATATGACCGTATATTTCACCTAATATTTTTTTGTAGATATTGTTCTTGAAGTTGTTCCGTTTTGATGTTTCAGCAAAATGATCCATGCAACAAATAAAAAGAGAAATTAATACTTATTTATAAATGATATAAAATAAAATTTAAAGAATGAAAGAATTAAATGTTTGTAAATTTTTTTGAACAATTAAGTAAGAAGTGACCGACTATAATAGAAACATAACAAAAAGAATTTGCACTCAATTGCTTTCTTTCCCTTCGGGAGATTGGCCAATCTCCATGTATGCTTCTGATGAAGAGACTGTATTTCATCATTCATGGCAGTCCTCCACTTATCTTCTTCTGAACTTTGGACTGCGTCTTTATAAGTAGTAGGAACATCATTAGCTACAATTGAGGCAGCACAAGCAACCGTCTCTATAAGACGAACATGTTTTGTTATTGTCTTTTTTGGCCTGCTGGTTGCTATTGATTCAAGTTGTTGTTGAGATTCCTGAGTTG